TTATGCGGGCTATTATTACAAATTGTCTGCTCGCACTACCATTAACTAAGAAAAAATAATAAAAATTAAATAATACAATGAACATGACTTCATTATAATCAACATTATTTATAAGATCGGTACGCGTTCTCCAAGGGCAAATACTCAGTTTTCGTCCAAATGCACGAAAATAGAATATTACTATGTACATTACAAGTTTGGAGGAATCCACTTAATACTACAATAATGATGACTAAGCTAGGCGCACTCTTCATATATGTCAGTAAATTAAGGTTATTTAATATAAATCGCTTAAACGTAAAATTAGTTAGCAACAGTACTTTAGAATAGTACTATAAATTTTTATGCAGTATGTAGTTTCGGCGGCAATAGTATACTGCATTACCAAGCACAAAAAATTCATTGTAGTTATGAAACTATTTTGTTGTTTTTTTTCGATAATGTAAACTATTTTCCATTTATGAAAATTGCTTCGTTTCGAGTTTGACTGATTGTGAGTTGCAGCGAATGCGAAATGTTTTTATGTTGTTAGTATGACTAATCACTAGTTTTTAGTCGTTTCACTGGTCCTTCGCTGCCTTGAGAGTTGGAGTCCTCAGAAAATGGCATGCTAGAGACAAATTCGGTGGCACCTTGTGAATCGCTTACCATGGAGAAACCTAGAAGGGAAAATTTAATTTAATGAGTGTTCCATTGTGACAATAAATATGCCAATATTTTTGCAGCATAAAATTTTAAATTCGAATGCAAACATTTGAACTTATCAGTTTGTGTGCTTCGACTCACAGGTGTTCGAATCTTCCGCAGTCAGACCGCCATAGGGCGTTATTTGCGGTGGAGTTGGCGTGCCTTTCTGCGAGTTCTCCTTATCGCTCTTATTAGCGTTGCTCACTTTTTTCTTTTCTGAATTAGATATAGGCACCCATTTGTAAATTTTCATGGTGGTATCGCCAATGGTTACCCATTTCTTTTCCCTATGTTTTGAAAATAGTTTCAAATTTTATATGGTACATTTTCTCATAAGGTGGAGGCCATCTTACCAATGTCTCACTTTTTCCACAGCATTCATTACCCGTTTGATGTCATCTTTTGCTCGGCTACGAGTTTCTGCTCTAACGCTACGCGACATTTTCAACTATTTTATACAGTATTTATGCTAATTTGTTGATTTTTTGGTAATTAAATTGCAAAGACTTTCGAAATTCGCAGCTTTCAACTTGAACGATGTAAACAGAAAACGAAGATTCGTCGAAAATGGCCGCTAAATGCCGAGTACGACTATATGACAGCTGACCATGCCTTTAGGGAGAGTTTACAGAGTCGTTTATTTAAAAAAGAAGTAGGGATGTTGTTAGTTTATTTCACTGCTCATGTGTTTATAGACCCAATAGATGACGAGGAATATTTAAAGAATCAAAATCATTATATAACGATGTTCAGAAGTGCATTATAAACTGCCTTCTGAGTATTCTTTCGATTTTTAAACTTAGAAAAAAATTGATAATGCTGGGCACCTTATGCAAAGAAAAAATCAATAAAACAAACGAGTGTCAAAACTTAACGAAGCAGGGTGATCCATGTACTGAGAAACAAGAAACGTTTCTAGGATTTTAGGAAACTTTGGTCAGAGAAGGTAAATCTATATTGCTTTGGTTAAATAATGGAACTGTATTAGCGTTCTTTGCATTAGCACTAGGCGATTTTTTGACAGGCGATAATCGCCTGGGCATGAATCACGTATGACGACAATCGTCTGAACGATATCGTGTCGAGATTGTGTTGCTTCATGAAAACCAAAAATCGTTTGATCGTTTGTGCGATATTGTCAACTCGATTCTAGTTTTGCTTCACGTAACAGTGACAGTAATACGTAACAGCAACACAAATGCATAAATCAGTGTTTCTACGAGGTCGTTTTGTCAGTATCGTTTGGACGACTATCGTTTTAAAGTTACGTGATTCATGCCCAGCAAAAGTGTACTTCCTGTTTACTTCGGGGCAGCGATTTTTGAATCGCCATTTACTAAAAAAAAATGTACCTTCTTTGGTAGGACGAAATTTTATCGTACACAACACACTCAATCTGCACATCGGCGACCAAACACAAAACGTTCTATTTTACACAGACCGTATGTGGATTGTGTATCGGGTTTATTTTGTGGATTCGCGTACATTTCGTACGAACTGAGTACGAATACGGCCCTTCCATTTCTACTTTGCACTCGCTTCAATTGGATACTCGTTAGGTTTTCACATACGTTAAAATACAGCCCTGCACCGGGGTGGCAGGTGAAAGATAATTTTGACAACCTTTGTACGAAAACGACCGATCGAGCGAGTGCGAGTGTAACATGGAGCGTTGCGAAAATCCTTCAATTTTAATAAATAAATTGTTCGAGAATCACTGCGAAATATAAGTTATTTATTAATTTTTAACGAAGTCGATGTGGTATTAAGAAATTCATTCGGTAAGCGTGTGCGCGAATCAAATTGTGTAAAGAAGTGGTGCTGTTTTGACTTGCAAAAAGTGCTGTCATTTTCAAGGTGTAGCGACACCGCAGAAGGAAAACTCGCTGCTGGCTGCATACCATATACGCAAGGAAATCCCATCGTCAGGCTCAAGGCGAAAGACGTTCCGTGAAATTTTCCAAAATTTTTCCATTTTGCATTTTTCTGTGAAAGATCTTTCAGCCAGTTTTCGACCAACCTTGTGTGAAGTTGGATGATTAGAGGCGTCGTCGTACGCTATGTAGTGGGAAAATTCAATAGGCAAAAGAAAAAATGAAAATTGGAAGTGTATTATTAGCCATGGTAGGCAAGGGCGATGTGCGGCAGTGGCCAATTGCTTGATGTGTAATGTGTAGTGGTTAAACCGAATGTGGTGGAAAAGTAAAGTACGAGAAAAAAGCTTTAATTGAAAATATATAAAAAGGCCAAAAAATACAACATAAAAAATATACACAACGACCGACCGAAAAAAGCAAAGTAGAAAGTCCGACAGCCAGCGAATGACGTCCGACAATTGTTAAACAACCGTGACGGTGCGCGTGGAAGAAACAAAGTGGTGTGCAAAAAATTGCAGGCGGCGCGGTGCAGTGCAGTACGGTACGGTACGGTTGGGCGTGTGTGCTATGCCTGCATTGAAGGTGAAGGAGACGTGTATGAAAATAAAACACAATTTTTTTTATAAAAACAAAAGATCAATATATGTAAAAAATGCATGTGCTAAAAAGGTAAACAAAAAACTAAAATTACCACGCGAAATGTACTCCTAATAAGGGGAACCTTCTCGTATTATAACCCTTATCTATTCCGACTTAAGATCCTATTCACCAATTCATTGCTCTCATACCTAACGTAAAAAAATTAACTACCAACTCTTTACATAAATAAACGTGTAATCTATTCGCTGCCGTCTCCAGCTATTGCACTTTAATTTATTTACTCATTGTTCTTAGTGCTTCCATTCTTCCATTGTTTTCACTGGCGCTATAGTGTCAACAGCTGTTACGTCCAATCTTTTTTATCTGCTAAACGGCTGTCTGACAAACGGGTTCGTGGTCATCAAATCTAAAAACGGAGAAAATAAATTATTTGTGTGAATTAGTATCAGAATGCCCAAATGCGACATGAAGACCCGCTACATTCCTGCTACATTTGCCTGGATTCTGCTGCTTTCCACAACGTTCCTCTTCTTTTTCTATCCGTAAGTACCTTCTGCAAAATAGTTTATACAATGATGCTAGTCTAGGCTTAGTATCTAGTAGGAAAAAAATATTGCTAAATAATTAGAATTTTTTAGCCCAGCTTGAGGCTGATAGAAGAAAATTGAGGGGCGTGGCAGATGCCGCCAATCCCACTTAAATGGCCAAAGATCGAAGTTTTCACAGATTTTTATAAAAAATCACAATTCACCATTAAAATGCAATTTATACTCTTCCGATCAAATTTAACAGGGATTTTATGAATTTGGTTTTTTTGATCAAGAATAGTTGTTATTTTTAGTATTTTAATGCTATGACTAATACCTACTTATTGATTGTTATTTGTAACATTAATTTTTTCCATCATACCACAAGTGTTATGCCGAATTTCCACTAGGTAATGAAATGACATGTGACATGTATGCCGTTTAAAAAAAAAATACCACATGGAAATGAACTTAATGACTATTTTTTTTTTACGTAATGACACGATTATTTTTTAATGCCCAAATTTGTCTTTTAATGCCTTGTGGAAATCCAGCATTATATTCAAAATTAATATAGAGGATTTAATACGCTCATTATAATCCAATATAAAAATTATATTTACATTAACTAATATAGCCTACATACATATCTATTAAAAATTATATACATTAGAATGTCCCAAAAAACCAAAGTGTTTTTTTTCTAATGCATAACCCCTCATTTTATTATTTTTGTCTTAAAAACTACTCAAATAAAACTTAATGCAATTCGCACCACGGCAATGTTGAAACTAAAAACATCGAAAAAAAAATGTCGAAAAAATATTTAGAAAATCGAGAATTTCGAGAAAAAAATGTCGAAAAGAAAAATGTCGATAAAAATATATCGCAATAATGTACTTAATCAATGATGTGTAAAATTCGCGCAAATCTCAACAGGTTTATTGGTTTAAGTTCAATTCCACTAATCCTGGGTACTAATATTATAAATGTGAAAGTTTGTGATTGATAAAGTTTGTTGCTCCTTCACGTCCAGATGTATTTCAATTAAATGTGGCATGCAGATAGTTTATATCCTGGTTTAACTTATAAAATATTTTGCCACCTCTATCAAAAGTTAAAATCGATTATTTATCAAGTTAAACAAAATATTACAGCAATGTCGGTGTCAAACGAAAGCAGTTTAGAAACTATATATTTCGAATGTATTTTTAAAGATGGTTGCCACCTGTTAAAAAAGTAAAAGTCAATTAATTGATAACTAAATATACTTTAAGACGTTTGCTATCTGTTTAAAAAGTTAAAATCAATGCTATTAAAAAGTTAAAATCAATGCTATTAAAAAGTTGAAACGAAATATTTCAATTTGAGTATCAAACTAGATAGGCAAAATGCTTTATTGTAGAAATATTTTTAGAGGGTTGCCATCCTTTCAAAAAGTTAAAATAAATTTAAATAACACGTTGAATAAAATATTATAATATGCGAGTGAGGTTTTAGAAAGCTTAATTTCGAAAATATTTTTGAATAGGTTGCCTCCTTACTTTTGTATTTACTCTGCTTTTAGTTGGCTTCTTACATTTTTTGAAAACTAATCTTTAATATGGACCACATTAAAAGATCCTTTTCATATAGAAATTTGTACGTGTCCCACCCGTGACAGAGGAATTTCGGATTTTTTTATAATAAAGCAATTATTTTTGTTGTCGTTTCTCCTTTGTTAGCATTCGTTGGTCTTTTTCTATTATAAGACATCAAGTTCACACAAAAAAGTGAAATAAATTCGCAGAGTTGCCGTAAAATGTATCTGCTCCAAAAAGCAGGTTCTTTTTTTTGTCCCACCCGTGACAGAAGAAATAACTAAGATTTTTTCCATATAAAAGTAAGTTGGCATTTTTTTCGTATTTGGTAAGTAATAACTCATACAATAATGAATTAGGTGTAGCTTTATCAACATGTGGAATTGTTGAGTACTTTATATTTAAATTTAAAAAAGAAAGAACATTTACAAATGTCACACCCGTGACGGTGGAATACCCCATATGTACAATGTTGGCCATATCTAAAGCACCCCCTTTTCAAAATGATATTGTTTGTCATTTACAATTAATTATTCATTTTTGAGAATTTTCAATGCAAATGCCATTCATCCTAACAAAACCCATATAAACCCACTTTTTAAACTTTGTAAAAGATTAAAAAAAATGCAAAAAATGTTCACCGAAATTCTTTTTTTTTCAGAACAGTTAGAATTTTTTTAAGTACGCAGTTTTATAGCCCATTCAATTTTAGTCAATAATGTGCAAGTTTCAAGTAGCTAAAAATTACCGTTGCTTCCATATAATGAATAAACGCAATTTATTTTTATATGGAAGAAATCCGCAACGATTTCGGTGAAAAAAAATTCTGAGAAGGAAGTTAGAAATGTTGGGTGAAAATTTGCAGAATTTTTTTGTAGTTTTACAGTTTTGTAGTTGTAGTCTACAAAGTTTTACCCTTGGATTTTTATGGCTTTTGTTAGAGAATGAACTGTATTTTAATTTAAAATTCCTAAAAATAAGTAAATACTCATTAGTGGCAAATAATATAACTTCGAAATGGGGGTTTTCACTTTTGGTTTCCATGTATTTACTATCGGCGGATTAAATATTTTCGGGGGAATTTTTTTTTGGTGAAACTCAGGATAAGGCAGAATATTTTTCGATCGGAAAACTTTTGTTCTCTTCAGGACACTGCCAATTATAATACCCAATTTTTTATTTAACACATGAAGTGTGAACCTCGTCCGTTTTTGTATGGAACGCCCCATATACATAAATATAAGCATACTATTAATGCACCCAAAATAAATAACTATACGCACAGCGAAAGAAGAAAATGATTTGCAAAAGTTTCTTCGACGCGGCATTAAAAATTTTCTTCGGCGTTTCACAGAGAAAATAAAAATCGTCGGCTCTATCTCCTAAAAGTATGCTTGATTTAGTTTGATGTGTCGTTATTTTGGCACAGCCAAACCGTCGTCGTTTTACGCATCAAGCAGAATAGAAGAAAATACTTTATGTGTAGTAGAAATAAGAATAACAATGTGGAATGAATAGTGTGAAGTAGAAGATGAATAATACGTGTTACATACAGATATGTATTTGTGTATATACATACATATGTATAAGTAAATATGTATGCACTGGAAATAACAAACGAATCAAATATTTGCAAATATTTTATAAGTATTATTTCCAAAGTGACTACAAATGTATTAGAGTCATAAAGTCAAAATTGCATGCCATATTTTGCCTTCATCCGAACTTTAATAACCAACGGCGGTAGTTGCTTAGAATGAGGCCATTTATGTATGTACATAGCTACAACCACTTGAGTCAAGTAGTCGGAATGATGTTTTCTCTTAAATGTATGCATATGTGTGTATGTATGTATACAATTTTCATGGGATTTACCTGTATATATTATAAAAACCGTATACACACATACTATATTTTATTTATTGTAAAGTATGTAATTGAATTCCCAAAATGCTTACTTTTCATTGTAGCACTGCTGCTTAGAGACTCCAAGCAAGAAAAATAAAAACAAATTCTGATTTAGGAGCATGCATACCCAAGTATGTATGTACATAAGTATGTACTACATATTTTCTTTTGATGCAATTTTAATGATAGAGATTTTGGTGCAATAAAAACGTTACAACGCAATCGAATTTATATTCGTTCAAATACTCGCTCTCTCTCTCACCTGGGAAGATTGTTCAGAATGAAAAAGAAATGTTTGCGGTAAAAAAAAACAATGTACAATGTTTTAGGATGTGAGCTGGAAAAAAATCAGATCTTCTTAAAAGTCTGGATGTGGTTTTAAAAGCTCATGGACAGGCATGCAAACGATAAATCAATACACAACATGTTAGTGTTTGGCCGAGCTTCTCCTCCGATTTGTGGCGTGCGGGAATATGTATATTTACCTGCAAATACTTCCCATGGTGATTTTTTTTAAATATTTATTCAAAATGTTTTTCAAGCAAAATTTTTTTTTGTTCGTTATTTTTTTATAAAAATTTTGCGCATGTACAACCAAAACCATAAAAATCAAATCTTTAAATTTTATACAAAATTTAGAAAAATTCAACAAATTTTTGTCAAAATTTCAATCTTTATAATTTAAATCTAAATTTGTTTATAAAAATGTGTACATTTTATACAAAAACTCCATGAGCTATAAAACTGAATACCCGAAAAGTTCAGATTAAAACATTCGAAATGTTGATGAAAATTTATTGAATCTTCTTAAACTTGGAATGAAACTTGAAACTTTAGTTTATTTGGTTTTGGTTGGCATGAACAATATTTTATACAAAATTAAAAAAAAAAATAACTTGAAAAACATTGTGAATATTTATGATAGTGATTGGTAAAAAAATCGAAGGCGTTTTCAAAAATCTTTCATATTGCATTGTTATTGGGTCCTGAGGCAAGTTTGAAATTTCAAGTCTCTAGCTCGTCGGGAAATTGGTTAAAAATTTATTGCAATATTTGATTACACCCAGGTGAAACTTAATAAAAGCTTGTAAAAAAATCCGCATGGGAGCGTTTATTTGAGTCACTGTATGTGTCATCTATGTAGATGTACACCAAATACTTTTGGAGTATCGGTACAGTTTAGTTTATACATACTAGGTTCACATAATTTTTATATAAATTTTTCGGTTTAAATGGCATGAAATTTATAATTTTCTTATCAGCGGTTTCATTAGAAAAGTTCTTATGCAATTGTTAAATAAGAAGACGTTTACTTTTATCATCATTTATCGCCTTGATTAAATTATTTAGCTTTCATTAGTAGAAAATCACACGTTAGCACATTTAATGCATTTATAAATACATACATACATGCATATAAATGTATGGAAATAAATACATATTTAAATACCTATTAAAAATACTATCCAAAAATTACCTCTATCTGGAATACAGTTGGGTTTCAGTCGCTAAAGACAAATACAGCTT